TAGGACAGTGATAACAGTTTGTCTCCAACCTGGTGCTACCTGTTGCTTGTTTTTCACAGGAGCTACTGAGAGAAGCTAGCTTTAGAAGCTCACAGTTAGCATAGTTAGCACAGTTAGTCATGTTGCTTGATTTGTGCAGTTTTACCCCTTGAGAATCATTCCACTTATTTTATCACCCGTTTCCACTACAAAACACTTGCTTTTATTTTTCTCGCAGTCATATAAAAATAATCCCAAATCGAACTTTGCCGCTTTCTCCCAACTTTTGCTGTCGTCATTTTACAGACGATCAARGAGCAGCAGATTTTAACCAAGTGTCGTTACGGAACATGAGGTGCAGTAAGCTGCCTGCAGCTAACGTGAAACTCTGTATGAAAGAAAAAAATAGATCAAAAATTTTAAATAGTCCACACAGCTTAAAATAAATTGACAAAAACTAAAACAAAAGGATATTTTATCTATAATTTCAGTTAGTTTCGTAAAAACAATACACTAAAACGTTGTTTTTAAATTGCAGTTTTCATTATTTCATTAGTTTTAGGTGACTATAATAACCCTGGTCATTACCTTGTCGTTGTCCTTCCTCTTGGACAGGCGGCTGTATCTATTAATGGCTACGTCGTGATCTGCAGACAGAAACACACGAGTGGACATCAGATAATACTAATATTATTATACATTCATAAACAGAAAGACAGAGGTTTAGAGTTGAGGGAGGGTTAGATCTGTCAGAGAAACACACTAACATCGTCTTACCATCACTGGCTATCTGGAAGACTTCTTTCAAGGTGAGGATTTCTGTAAAGAGAAGAAAAACAAACGATATAACTGTTGCATGTTTGTTTCCATCAGTGAAACCCGACCCTGCTTCCTACCCTTCAGGTCTCTCTCCTTGAACTGAGTGATGGGAAACATCATGGCGTCGGCGAGCTGGGTGGACAAGACGGCGTGGCAGGAGCTCAGCTGGGAGCGGAAAGAGGCAGGAAGTTCAAAACCTACATGTGCAGAAAAGCAGAACATCGGGGACGACGGCAGCCCCGCTCACCTCATCGATGACGTTGGCAAACTGCTGCAGCGTCGAGCTCATCACCTCGTCGTCGCCCCCCAGAGGAAACCGCTGCAGACAAAACGTCAGATTCTAAAAACTTCATTTAAAAAAAAAAAACTGTAAATATTTGAATGTTTTCCGTGAGAAATGCTTCTCAGCTGACTTTTTATTGATTTTCTGACTWGTTTTGAAAGATGCCCTACAAATACACACTATTACCGTCATCATAAAGCAGCCTCCTGACGAGGTCGCAGGTAAAAACGTACCTGTTTGTCYTACTCCTTCAGCAGTCTGGAGGTCAGATGTGTCGCTGCACTCAGCTCATTCTGAAAGAACAAATGGCAACACTGACCAGGAGACACACAACATGCATCAACCATGTGTGTGTGTGTGTGTGAGTGTGTGTGTACCTGTGCATCATAAATCCTGTGCATGGCCTCATACAGCTGGGTGCAGTAGTTGGAGATGGCTGCAGTGTCCTCCTCAAACACTCCCAGTAAAGAGCGGGTCTTTATACAAAAAACACAACATGACACAAAAACAACTATTTACACAAACATACACCATCACCTGGCTGCTACCTGTCCCTAAATCCAACTGTGGACTCAAGGTGTGCCCAAACAACATTTTGTCCTTCGTTTTTCTGGCCGTGCTCCATAACCGCTGCTGTTAATCATCAACTCGTATAAAAGGCAAATTAAGTGATTGATTCACGTCCTGCAGTCCTGGAGGACAAATCATAAATATTTTTAATTCTCAGGTGATGAC